ATAGAAAAGAAGCCTAATATTGGGTATAACCTCTTAATTTTTATGAGGAAATTTCACACTCCTCCTTTTACATTTCACCAAGTTAATACACTTGATTAAGCTTCACCAAAGAAGACATTCAAGCAGTCAACACACATATGAAGAAATGGTCATGATCACTAGCCATTGTTGTTGTTGTTAAGTGCCATTAAGTCAGTTCCGACTCATAACAACCCTGTTAGGATTTCCAAGGAGCAGCTCATAAGTTTTAACTGCCAACCTTGTGATTCAGTCCAGTGCTGATCTTACAGCACAAATCAAAAGAACAATGAGATATCATCTTACACCAACATTAATACCAAAAAAGTAGAAAACAACAAATGTTGACAAGGGTGTGGAGAGACTGGGACCCTCCTCCCAATAGCAAAAAGATGGAGATAGCCTAAATGCCCAGCAGTGGAAAAGTGGTTAAACACACTTTGGTCAACACATATACAATGGAATACTATGTTCTGGGGACAGCATACGCAGATCCTGGGTTGATCAGTGGCAGCCCCATTAAACCGCCTCTGAATATAATCAGTTTAACCCAGATGCTCTCCTTCCTCCTGAAAGTATATAGGAACGTGATACTTAAGAACAATGTAGCATTTTAGATATAGATAAATGAAGCCCAGTGCATGAGATCTTGCTCACAAACAAAAGTTTGCAAAATGTACAGAGACAGCTTGGCTCCTTTCAGGAACCTTGCTTTATGTTAAGTACCCTTAAGAAACCGCACGTCACTGCTCTAGATCATTTAAGCCTAAAAGTTAATATATAACAGCTTGATTGAACCTTTTTTCTGTAAAAATAAAAATGTTAGATTGTTAAGAAAAACTATGAAAATATTTTAAAAGTTGTTCCTGTGAATCATTATGTCCTGTTTTGAATGATTAATCACATTTCACTTCCATATCCTGTCTTAATCACATCCTCCCTTTGTGAGTGAATTACATCCTTCCTTTGTAACAAATCCCTCCCTGAAAAAGAGAATAAAAGACTGAGGTAGAGTTAGATCTGTGTGCAGTGCTGTGCAATGCTGTGCAATGCTAGGCAATATGTTTGCAGATCTGTCTACCTGCCAGCTTGCATCATATCTATGTGTCTGTCTTTTTTGTATATATTTTGTCTCTCTCTTTCTTTATCCCTTTCGCCTCCAGATCTCCCTTCTTCATGACACCCACCCTTCCTTGTCGAGGCCGGACCTCAACATAGGACCTCAACAACTATGCAACATTGAAAAATAACAGTGAATCTGCAAACACCTTGTAACATGGATAAACCTGGAGGACATTATGCTGAGTGAATTAAGTCTACCACAAAAGGACAAATATAGTATGAGACCACTATTGTGAAAACTCAAGAAAAGGTTTTCATACTAAAAGAAACATTCTTTGATGGTTACCAGGGGTGGGAGAGAAATGAGAGTAATTCACTGAATTTTGTGAATGTTGTTGTTGTGGTTAAGTACTGCCAAATCAGTTCAGACTCATAGCAACCTTGTATAGGGTTTCTGAGGAGCAGCTGATGAATTTGAACCAATGACTTTAAGGTTCAAACTGACTTTGCAGTCCAGTGCTTATCATACAGCAACACACCAGAATGCCATTTAGAGGGTTGCTGTTGTTGTTGTTAGGTGCTATCAAGTCAGCACTGACTCATAGTGAACATATTATACACAACAGAAAGAAACACTGCCTGGTCCTACGCCAACCTCACAAAAGGTTTTTGTGCCCATCACATTGGGGGTCTTCCTCTTTTTCTCTGACCCTCCACTTAACCAAACATAATATCCTTCTCCAGGGACTGGTCCCTCCTGACAATATGTCCAAAGTATGAAAAATGAAGTCTGGACATCCTGGCTTCCAAGGAGCACTTTGTCTGTACTTCTTCCAACACAGATTGGTTTGTTCTTTTGGCAGCCCATGGTACTTTTAATATTCTCCTTCAACACCATAACTCAAATGTATCAATTCTTCTATGATCTTCCTTATTCACTGTCCAACTTTTCACATGCATATGAGATTATTGAAAATACCATGGCTTTGGCCAGGTGCACCTTAGTCCTCAAACTGACATCTTTGTTCTTGAACACTTTAAATAAGTCTTGTAAGGCAAATTTGCCTAATGCACTAACTACATTGTTTGATTTCTTGACTGCTGCTTCTCTAAATGTTGATGGTTGATCCCAGCAAAATGATGTCTTTGACAACTTCAATCTTTTCTCTATTTATATATAGACATAGGTTAAGGCAGGTGATGCGGAGGGCAAGAGACAAGAGAGAGGTTGGCAAAAGAATGATAGGTGAAGACACACAGGGAGTTGTTGTTGTTGTTGTTAAGTGCTGTCGAGTTGGTTCCAACCCATAGCGACCCTGAACAGGGTTTCCAAGGCTGTAAATCTTTACGGGAACAGAAAGCTTCATCTTTCTCCCGTGGAGCAGCTGGTAGTTTCAAACTGCTGACTATGTAAGCTCTAAAGGCGATAGAATTTAATAGTAATATACACAACGTTGGAACAACAGTGTTCTGTGTGTAGATACATGGACAGAGACACAGAATATGGGAGGAAGAATGGGATATATATACTTGAAAGAGGATATGTGTACATGGGTAACCACTGGCGCAAAGAGGGACAAGTGTTTTTGCATGGAGAGGATTGCAACCATTGAGATGAAGCAAAGTAAATGTAAACTGATATAAAATTGATAATCTTGTCTGTAAAACTTCACTCAATTCACAATAATAAATAAATAATATATGTTTTAAAAACACTTGGTTAAACTCATTCCTTACTCTCCCTTTCTCCATATCTCTATATCCCCTCTCCCAATAATACTTCTCCAAACTTCTGAAAGTCTTCATGAATTATCATCCTAAATTATGTTAAAGTTTCTTCAGGACTGCTGATCTATTGTTCCAAGTTAGATAAGTACCCTGTCATCATCTCAATTTTCTATCAACTCTTCCATAGTAAAACAGTAAGGAAAAAACATCCTTTATATGCCTTGCCTATATGTTTTTATTCTTTTATTCAGAATTATCATAATATTAAAACATTATTATGAATGTTTATATTCCCTAACTTAGAAGAGGATAAACTTTCCTTTCATATTATTGTGTAGTATGAGAAAATTGGGGCTTTCACAGAATTTACAAAAAGTTCAGGACGACAGCAACACAACTGTGGAAAACACAACATACTGGACCATGTCAGATTATTTTCATTTTTATTTATTGCAGCACAAAGAAAAGAGGCAAAATATTTAAAGAAAGTTGTTTTTCTTGACACCAACAGAATAGAAAAACAGATGAATAAACTCTAGATCTTCATTTCTCTTGTTCTTATACTTATGGTAGGCTGAAAAACAAAATGGCAAACATAAGTGCAGTCAGTACAATGGCATGTCTTTTTCAAATCTATTAAAAGGCCGTCTTTCTGCAGTTCTTACAAATGAGAATAATTAACCAAAGAGTATAATTCAGGCCTTTCGTAGGTGTATGGCAATCAACTACTCTTTCTCCTATATTTGTTGTTAAGTGCCACCGAGTCGTTTCCGACTTATAGTGAACCTGGATAGGGTTTTCAAGGAGTGGCTCTTGGGTTTGAGCCACCGACATTGTGGCTCAAACTGACTTTGTGGTCCAGGGCTTATCTTACAGTGTCACACCAGAACTCTTCCTCTGAGGGTATGGAAAAGCACATATAAAAATATTATGAAGGCTTTGCTTCATCACCAAAGTCATAAGATTCCTTATGTTTTAAAGCTAAGCTTCAAATGTAATTAAAAAAGATCATGGCCAACAAAGCAAAACTGGAACAGACCCCAATTTTTAAACATTTTTTTTAAACTTTGGATGATCCAAAACACTAATATGAATGTAAAAAATTACACTGGAAATGTATCAACAGATTATTCACTATTAATGTGGAAGTCCACATAAACTAGAACAATTACAATCATCAGCAGATTGAACCACAGCAAATCATAGTTATTTGATTGCTTTTGACCTACAGAAATGCATTTTCAAATGGTCCAGACTAATACCTAAGGAGCCCTGGTGGTGCTACAGGTTAAGCAATAGACTGCTTGTTGTTGTTGTTAAGTGCCATTGAGTCGGTTCCTACACATAGCGACACTGTCTAGGGTTTCCAAGGAGCAGCTGGTGATCTTGAACTGGCAACCTTCAGTTCAAACAGCTTTGCAGTTTGGTGCATTAACCCACAGTGCCACACCAGGACTCTAACCACTAATAATTCACCAGTTGCTCCACGGAAGAAAGATAAGATATTCCCATGAAAATTTACAACTCAGAAACCTTGTAACAGAGTCACTGAGTTGGAAAACACTCACTGTAGCTGGTTTAGCCTAATACCTAATATATATTTCATTGATGAACTGTCACTTACTTAAACTACTCGGTATAATTTGTCATATAAGTCAGAGTAGTACAATGGTGAACACTCACATTTTGCTGTCAAACTAGTTCAGTTTTAACTTGAGCTCCCACCACTCACTATCTAGGTTAAGCTATATGCTCCTTATTTTTCTCATCTACAATGGAAATAACAATACCCAAATCACATAACTCTTTTGAGAATTAAATAAGTTAATATGTAGATAGATAGATAGATAGATAGATAGATAGATAGATAGATAGATAGATAGATAGATATAGAACAGAGATTGGCATTGGTCTATAGTGTTCATTGTTCTTTAGTGCTGTCTACTCATTTCCAACTCATAGTGACCCTGTATAGGGTTTCCAAAAAGTGGCTGATTGATTTGAACAGCTGACCTTGCAGTTCAAATCAATGTAAGGTCCAGTGCTTATCCTGCAGTGCTATACCAGGACTCCACTGGTCTGTATAACTTTTGGCAAATCATCAATTTTTTCTATTTTAATAATAACAATTATGATTACTTGTTTTTAAAAATCTGAAGTAGTTACCTGAGATGTTTGTGATTCTGTTGTTCTTAAGCTAAGGTAGCTTGAGCTGCAGCAACAAGTTTTGGACCCTGAATATAAAGAAATGACAGATGTATGGAAAATGTTAGCATTGCCATTAGAATAAAAATTAACATTTACATAGCCACTGATGATGTAAAATACTTCCAGATACACAACATCTGTTAACTCCAATTTATACAAGAATCCCTACAAGGAAGCTGACTGACACCAGTTGCCTCAAAGGAATAAAAAATTATTGTGAAGTCATAGGGGAAATATGCAATGATTCAGACACTTAAATATAAGCTTCCTTATTAATTCACTAAGCTATAAAATCAAGCTGTCAGATTCAACTAAAACACAAAGCAGTTTTTCCAAGAAAATGTTTAAATAATGAAAGTTATTTAATGCTATTTCTAACAAAAGTTTTCAGATCTTCAGACCTAACAAATATCCATATTCATAATATCACAATTTTAGAAACAGAACAGATTTTACAAACATTTAATAATATGCTACAAGGTAGCAGCATACAATTTTTTTTTTTTTCAATTTTCAAAAGAAAAACAAGTTAACTCCTTTTGTAAGGCAATTTTATGTAGAAAAAAAGATTCTATATGTATGGAGTATCCTTTAGGTACGTGAACCATTAAGCCCTAACCCCATCAAATGCTCCCACAGTGGAAACCAGATATATTAGACTGAAGACAACACCAGTACCTCTTCAGCGAAGCAGACCTCATGGTCCTCAACCTTGCAACACTTCTCTACCATAGCTGAGAACTCTCCAGCCACTTTCTTCAGTTGATCATCTGTTGCCTTGGGCTTGTGTTTCACCAGCTCAACGAGCACACTGTATATTAACCAAACAACAGAAAATAGGATGTTCATATAAATAAATAATAACATGGTAATTAGAGTAGCTCTATTGTTTAAGATTTTAAGTATTAGAGTCAGATGTCTTTGGGTTTGAGGTCCAGATGTACCATTCTAAGCCTCAATATTCTCACCTACATAATGAGATTAATAAAACCTGTCTTCATAGGGTTGATGGGAAGATCAAACGAGATCATTACTGTATATTGCTCAACATTTTGTGTAGAGTTAAATACAGCAAAAGAAAAAGTCCATTACTTTTTACTAAGTTCCTAGAAAGGATTATACGTTTTCAATTATACATGATTCACATTCTAGAAGCCATATATCTTATTGAATTGCAAAGTTTACATAAGAGTTCAAATGATCCTTTAAAAGTTTGCCTTGTACTTCCTTTCTATAGTTTCTCAGTTAAGAATCTATATATTTGATCTTATAGGAAATAAGTCTGTCAAAACATGTGAACCTATTGCCCTGAGATCCTCTTTAAACCTCAAACCAAAATATCCGGAGATGGTGGTTGCACAATTTGAAGAATAAAATCAATGTCACTGAATTATATAGATAATAACTGCTGCTTTCTGTTTGTGTATTTTGCTGTTAGTATGCTCAGCAAACCACAAAATTAATCATTAAAAAAAAGAGAGAACTATGGCATCTGGTGATTCTCTGCATTGACTTTACAGAAACAACAATGTGAGACAGAGGTTGAGTATGACAGGTTTTGCAATGATGCTCTTAAATCTGTGGCCAGGATCAGAGTTCACAAGAGATGATAGCAAATATCAGTTGCTTATTTTCCACAGTTCTACTATATGGAGCATGGCCTAGAACTCACATTTCTATATGTCTTTCATCCAAATTCCATTTCTAAAAGTCACACATTGGGTATTTGCCTGGCCTATGGATTCATCATAGAACAAATTTTAAATCCCCCATTCATATCTGAAAATCAATTCTCCAGTTTCTATGAACTAATTTTCTAACTATGCAAATGTATCAGTAAATTGTTCAGCCTTTTCTAATGAATCTGGATAAGTAATTATTCTAGTATGGTCCTTTATCCACAAGGTTAGTGCATATAATTTGCAGGCAAGATTATAATACCGCGTTCTGCTTAGGAAGAAAAAAGCTATCCATTGTGTTCTTGATACTTTTACCAGTTTCATAAGACTAATAATACTTTCCCCTATAGAATATAATCACTACTTCAGGAAAGTTATTCATTCAGTAGACAATTTTCACTATCAAGAATGCAGAAGCTTGCAATAATGAAATATTCCTCACGTTTGTTTCTTGGTTTGTTTCTGATCCTCAGGAAGTGTGCACAAATCGCTGTGGAAAGTGAATGTTTCAGCACTAAACTCTTTGGGAGCATATGTTTCATCCACTTCCAGGGCAGAGAAACATGGCCGCCTGTACACCAAGGAGTTTGAGCAGCAGGTGGTGACCTTTTCACTCACTGGGGTCTTCTCGTGTAGCACACACAGCCGGTTCAGAACCAAAGACAGCTGAAGGGGAAGCAGAAGAGCAGAAACTCAAAAGAAGCTTAGCTGAAAATTTGTCATGAATACCTACTTTCCAATGGACCAAAAATGTGTTATATTGTAGCTTGTTGTATTTAAGTGCCATGGAGTCGGCTCCAATTCACAGCGACCCTGTATAGGGTTTCTAAGGCTGTAAATCTTTGTTGGAGTAGAAAGCCTCATCTTTCTTCCACAGTATTTTTGGCTAGCACCATTGAATCCAGGGTTGATTTGGCATAGTGGTTTGTTTATGTCAGGACTACAAATAATAAGAGATTCTGAAAGTATTTTCTCACTTAATTACACTTCAAAAAACAATTTGAAGTTATTTCTAGGACATGCGTTGGAGGAGGAAATAGTTTTATAGAAGAGACTCCAAAGAAAGTGAAAATCTAGAAAATGCCAGGATGCTATTGTTAAACACTGAATATTCATGCAATTTTTCATTGTTGGGATCTTATCTAAATGATCCTTTTGGTGGTCAGGATAATATAGACTGCCAAGTAAATTGTGGCTGCTGTCACTACCACCACCTACACACACACATACACATATACACATATGCTTTATTTCACCCCTCCTTTGGATGTTAACTTTGTCAGTATTGAAAGGCAAAATTTATCACTATTAATTATATTTTTAAAGACTTACGTAGTCCTCAGCACAGGACATTCTCTCTGTTTCAGCAAGCTTACAGCACTTGGTTCCCACCCTTCCTAAGTTTCTTGAGACCTCCACGAGAGTTGGAGTTGACACTTGGGGTAGTTTCCTGGTGTAACGGACTACGAGCCTGTAACAAAACAGCCCATGTGTTTTCAACAAGGTTAAAAATAAATCATTTTTTCCCTAACATAGTGCATCAAGCAAACAATACTTAGCCAAAATCAACTAAGAGTATCTTCCAGTTATAAAGTTATCTTCATCTCCAGGGTAGCTGAGTAACATTGTAAAAAGACAAGTCTTTGGAAACTCTATAACGGTCACTATGGGTCAGAACCGACTTGATGACACATAACAACAACAATAATTTTTGAAATACACTGCTGCCATTTAATCTTTAGAAAGTATTTCCCTTCTCATATTTCAGTGACATTAATACAGTTATTGTTTCTTACCACAAATACCTGTGAAAGACTAACGAATATTAGCACTCATCTAAACCTGAAGTATATGAATGAATATTCTTGTCTATAAAATTGGGAAAACTATATCTGACTCAACAGGGATTCATTCAAAAGAAAGAAAGTATGCCATTAACCTGATATAGCTAACAAGTAGCAGTTGTTTACAAGGGGACTTCAAAAAGTTTGTGGGGAAATGGTATTAAAAGAGAATGGAATTTTTCCACGAACTTTTCGAAACTACCTTGTATTGAGAATCTCCATCATCGTTGAAAATCAATGTAAAATGGCAATCTACTCAAAAGAAGGAACTGTCTCTTGTTCACCGATGCACCACTTGTTACTGTTGTTGCTGTGTGTCGTAGAGTCAGATCTGACTCATAGTGACCCTGTATAGAGTTTCCAAGAATGACTGGTGGGTTTGAATGGCCAACCTTGTGGTTAGCTATCCAGTGCTTACCCTCTAGAGCCACATCACTAGCACCCATAGAGTGCTAACATATATATGCTGCACATTAGCTATTTGCTCAATGACGTGTCCCTTCTGGTTTTACCACCATAAATTAGACTCTGTTAGATTGAGGAATTAGTCTATCAGACCATTCTGTCTCTGATATTGCTACAAGAGGAAGTTACAAGGGGAAACAAATAAAAGATTATGTGTATCTCCCAAATATCAACTTTTTCTCCCAAATAGCCCCTTATGAATTTTATATTCTTATACATACCTAAATTCATTTGTCGTATTTTTGTGTTCAACCCATATTGCACATTTAGAACTACTACTACAGCTACTGCCTTTTCACTGTAAGGTCTTTTATTTGTCTGTAAGCTCGGCCTTAAGGAGCTCTGGTAGCGTAGTGGTTACGAATCGGGCTGTGAACCACAAAGTAAGCAGTTCAAAACTACCAGCTGTTCTGTGGGAGAAAGATGAGGCTTTCTGCTCCCGTACAGGGTTGATATGAGTTGGAACTGACTCCATGGCACACAGCCACCAAGCTTGGCCTTAACATTCATAACAATACAGACTTCTCCATGCCATTAACTACTGTATCTCTCCTTCTCTAACTCTTGTACATATTTCTTGGTGAGAAGTAATTAGGAATATATACTATATTTAATTATTAAGATGTCTATGAAAAGCGCTTCATAGGGAAAAAAAAACCCACCACAAAACTTGTTGCCATCAAATCAATTCTGACTCATAGTGACCCCAGGTGTTATAGAGGAGAATAGCTCCATAAAATTTTCTTGGCTATAATCTTTTTTGAAGCAGACCAGGAGGTCCTTGTTCCATGGTGCTACTAGATGGATCTGAAAGACCAATATTCTTCTGAGTGAACAAGTGCAAACTCTTTGTGCCACCCAGGCACCTAGTGCACCATATGGTGGTAGTGGTGGTGGTGTGCCATGGAGTCGGTTCTGACTCATAGTGACCCTGCACAGGGTTTCCGGGGCTGTGAATCTTTACGGGAGCAGAAAGCCTCATCTTTCTCCCACGGAACTGCTGGAAGTTTCAAATTGTGGATTGTTAGGTTAGCAGCCCAGCTCGTAACCACTTCGCTACCAGAACACCTTAGTGAACCATATAGTAAGTCTTAAATAGCTATGAATTGATCAAGAAAAAAATTAACAAAAGCACAAAATGACTTACGCATTTTGGAAGCCATATTCTCCAAGTTGATCAAAAAGTTCACAGTTTTGTTTGACTACACGCTGAGGCTCCTCAACAAGGGTATTGAGTTCATCAAGCTGAAAGATAAAATTTTGAGTTTATTTATTTTATTCCATCTGACGACCAGCTGGACCAGTTTTTGTTTTGTTTTTTACTCTAGGCAAAATGAGATCTTCCTGTCCAAAACCAAATCAAACCAAATCCACTGCTACCCATCAATTCTGACTTAAAGAGATCCTGTTGGACAGAGTAGAACTGTTGGTGAGTTTAAACTGCCAACCTTGTGATTAGCAGCCCAATATTTAACCCATTGTATTTTGATGTCAAATCTATCACATTGTATCTAACCCTTTATTTTAACTGCTGGGTCTGTCTAGTGTAAATGCTTAAGAATGCCCTTCAAGCTCTGGAGTTCACCTATTAATATTTGAGCCAGATCATCTGACCCTATAGGATAATCATGGGATTTGAACCTTACTGAGAACCTCAAGGTCATGGGTTTGAGCCCACCAGTCACTCTGCAGGAAAAAGATGAGGTTTTCTGCTCCCATAAAGATTTACAGCCTCAAAAAATCTATACAGGGTCCCAGTAAGTTGAAACTGACTCAGCTGACACAACCAGATCTGACTCGTTTTCTAGTTATATAGCTTTACTTACTGGCTTCTGAATCCTCACCGACAAAATGGAGATGATGATGTCAGTCACCACACAGAACTGCTTGGTGAATCAAATGAGCTATGGAAATTAAACTAGCACTTGACCCACATAAAAGAGCCCTGGAGGCACAGTGGTACAGTGGTTAACTGCTAACCAAAAGACTGGTGATTCGAACCAACCTGCCACTCTGTGGGATGAAGATGTGCTATTCTGCTTCTGTAAAGATTTGTAGCCTTGGAAATATTGTGGGACAGTTTTTACTGGCTCCCAATGGCATTTAACAACAATAATAACATAGCATATCTGGCTGCTAACCTCAAGGTCAAAACAACTAGCTGTTCCAGTGGAGAAAGATGAGGCTTTCTGCTCCTGTAAAAATGTACAGCCTCTGAAACCCAGTACAGGGTCGCTTTGAGTCAAAGCCAACTCCACAGCACATAACCACCATTACCATAAGAGTCCTGGTATGGAGCCATAGGATAAGCACTCCACCTCAAGGTTGGTTTGCATTGCAAAGCTGGTGGTTTAAACTCACTAGCCGCTCCTCAGAAACTCTATACAGGGTCTATGAGTAGGGACCCATTTGATGGCACTGAGCAACAACATAGGAGTCCTGGAGTCCTGGTATGGCACTGTGGGATAAAATACTGGACTGCAATGTCGGTTTGAACCACAGAGTCAGCAGTTTAAACTCACCAGCTACTCCTTGGAAACCCTATACAAGGTTGCTATGAGTCAGAAGTAACTCAAAGGCACTTAACAACACAACATAGGACTCCAACCACAGGGTTAGTGGTTCAAACCCACAGTCACTCCTTGGAAACCCTATACAGAGTCACTGTTAGTTGGAAGCAACTCGACCCAACTCAATGGCACTTAACAGCAACCAAAGGATCACTATGAGCTGGCACTGACTCAAGACAATGAGTTTAGTTTTTGAGCTTGACAGTACACAATAAAAGCTTAATAATTGGTGATTATGATTATAAGTATTATTATTATTATTGAGTCATTGCTCCAGTGGGATCCTAAGCTCTCTGAGTTGAAAGATTTTGCCTTGGTGACCAGTAACAGTCTTGCTAAGTGCTGCAAAGTCAGTTATGACTCATAGTGGCCTGAATAGGGTTTCCAAGGAAAGGCTGTGGGTTAAACTGCAGACCTTGCAGTTAGAAGTCCAGTGCTTATCCTACGGTACCACATCAGGACCCCAGTATGTTGTTGTTGTTATGTGCCGTGGAGTCGGTTCCGATTCATAGTGATCCTAGACAGGGTTTCCGAGGCTGTAAATCTTTACGGGAGCAGAAAGACTCATCTTTCTCCCGCCGAACAGCTGGTAGTTTCGAACTGCTGACCTTGCAGTTTGTAGCCCGATTCGTAACCACTATACTACCAGAGCTCCTTAGGACCCCAGTACAGTGCCTGGAGATATGGTGCTTGGCATGCAGCAATTTCTAGTCATGGAAATAATGACTTTCTTCTGATTCAGAATAGTTTGGAAAGCATTGGATATGCTTGTAGGAGACCTGAAAATCATCCAGAACTTGTTCACTCTCTTTACATAACTTCTTAATAAACCATACTTAAACTTTTTCGAAAAGAATTCTTCAGCCATCCATAAGACACTATTTCAAGTAGTTGATACATTTTGGAATCAAAGGTATTTTCTTTATGTCTGAGTTAAAACTCTTTTAATTAACATTCATACTGACATTGTCTTAGTCTGTTCTTTGTTGTTGTTGTTAAATGCCATCAAGTCCCTTCCAACTACAGCAACCCTGTATAGGGTTTCTGAGGCTTTAGATCTTTGCAGGACCAGAAAGCCTCATCTTTTTCCTAGGAGAGGCTGATGAGCTCAAACTGTCAACCTTGTGGCCATATGGAGCCATCATACTCCCTGTCTGTTCTTGGGAATATGAAAAAGAAAAACCGTGCTTAAGATTTTATCTTTTTAGAGAGTGTTGTCTTTTCTAGGCTAACTACTCTCAACTTGATTAGCCATTTTATTTAAGGTCATGTTTTCAATAATGTTTAAGAGTACATAATAGAAAACCATCTCAAAAACAAAAGCACTTAATTGTTATATGTCAATCCACATACATGCATTATTTTTCTTTGTCGTTATTGGAATCAACAGTTCAAGAGTCAGATTTTTTCTTTTCCAGCAAGAAACCTACCACTTTGCCATAGCACGTAGGAGGGTCATCAGTGGCACAGCATTTTTCCAGTGTTGCTTCATATTTCTTGACAAGTCTTCCCAACAAAAAGGCAGAGTATTCAGGATGCCTTCTTGCGTATTCATACAAAAACCTGATTAAGATAAAAATAAAATAGATTTAGTTGGACCAATAAGCAAGATCAATCACAGAACTATCTTAGAGATTAACTCATATCCCAAAGATCTAAATCTAACTTATATCTATGCAGTAAAAATAGTGGCAATACATTAGGGATCTAGAATTAAAGCTATCTGGGTTCAAATCCTGGTTCTATCAATTATTTTACTATATCATCTTGTGATTGTTATGTGCCGTAGAGTCGGTTCTGACTCATAGCACCCTATGCAGGGTTTCCGAGGCTGTAAATCTTTACGGGAGCACAAAGCCTCATCTTTCTCCCACAGAACAGCTGGTAGTTTTGAACTGCTGACCTTGAGGTTTGCTGCCCAATTCGTAACCACTACACTACCAGAGCTCATCTTAGGAAACCTATTAAATGCCATCTTAGGAAACCTATTAAAATTAATGGAGTTTTAATTTTCTCTTCTGTAGGATGAGGATACTACTATTATCTATCTCATAAGGTAAATGTCTGTGAAAATTAAATGATATAATTTATGTAAAACACTGGCACATGGTAAATTTTTGGATAAATGATACCTCATAGTTATTACTATGAATGCTTTGCTTGATTTGGAGTATACCTCACAAGAAGTCTGGACATGGTACTGTGGGTTAATGCGCTGGACTACAAGGTCAGTTTGAACCACAAGGTTGGTGGTTAAAACTCACCAGCTGCTCCTTGAGAACCCTATACACAGTTGCTGTGTGTCAGGACCGATTCGACAGCACTTAACAATAGCAAAACACCTCCAAACATTCTGAATTAAACACTTAGTTTTAGCCACTCATGGAATTCTAGATTTTTATGTTTGAGAGAGTTTTAATTTTTTTCATTTTCCTCTCTGTTGAAGTGAAATTTTATAGGGTATATCATTTTATGAACTAGTAATTAGTGCAAAAGCTACTATCATAAGCCAATAACAACAACAACAAGAATCAAGGTTTACTATGACACTTATCACCTATGCATAACCATCTACTTTGTTACTAAACAGTATGACCTTGCCCCATCACTAAACTTTTGGCTTTCTGAAACAAATATTTAAACACCTGGTGATAGAATCCATGTATTTATACTTCTTTTTATACATTCCTGCCTATTACTACATATATGTTTACATATAAGTGGACATGCATATATATGCAATAAAGGTATTCAATAAATACCCTTTGAATGAATGAGCAAATGAATGACTAACATGTATATATTTGCATATTCACAAAATATTTCTAAAGTTCCAGAAATATCCAAAAGGAGTAAAGAATGGGCAGCAAATATAAAATGGGAGAACTTTTATTTATTGCTTTATACTTTTCTGTATTGGTTTTGTTATAAGCATGTATTATTTCACAATAATTTTTAAAACTATGATATTTTTGAAAAAAATTTTTTAAAGCCTGGGTCAGAAAAAGGATGAAGAAATATTCTGGATAACATGAAAATTGTAGCAACTCCAAAGGGAATCTAGTACATCTTATTAAAGTGTGAGATCATATAAAAGCTTTGAAAGATCATTCTTTATTCACTTACATGCCCAGGAAGAGATCTTTTGTCTCTGCATAGTTTTTGCACACCTCCTTGTCATCAACATAAGTAACAGCTATGGAGGGCAGGTCAGCAGGAATATCATCTTTTTCTACCTCAGAAATGCAGTGGGATTTTTCAAGCACAGACTTAGCACAGCAGTCCTTCAGTTTACTGGAGAATAAGTCTTGATTTTCACACATATATTTTGCCAGATCAGCCTGTAAACAAGTTAATAAAAATTGTTTATGAAAACTAGATAGGTATATATGCATATAACCAGATTTGTGTGTGTGTGTGTGTGTGTGCATGTATTTCACTTCTGAAGGTTTCTTTAGCTATCTACCCTTCTCCAATGTCATCTACTCCCCAAAAGAATCTCCTTAGAAACTTATCTTTAATTTAAAACTTTTTCTTAACTAAAATATGACTGAAATGGGCTATAAATCAGTAAATTAGTCTTTTGGGTTATTTAATAAGTTGGGTAACAGTACCAGTTGATTTTGATTCATGGAAACTCCACGTGTGTCAGAGTAGAACATAGAGTTTTCTAAGGAATGATTTTTCAAAAATTAAATTTTCACCTTGCCTTTCTTTACTCTGGGTGGACTCAAACCTCCAACCTTTTGGTAAGTAGCAAACCAGTACCCAAAACAGGGACTAAATAGAATGTTGTTATGGCTAAATGCTGTCAAATCGGTTCCTACTCATAGTGACCCTGTATAGAGTTTCCATGAGCAGTTGGTGGGTTTTAACTGCCCATCTTGCCTCTAGCAATCCAGGATAAGTAAGTTTAAAAAAAAAAAAAAAAAGACAACCTGGTGGTACAGAATTTGAGTGCTTCTCCATTAACTGCAAGGTCATGACTAGAACCCACCAACTGCTCTGTGGGAGAAAGATTTAGCAGTTTGCTTCTATAAAGATTTATAGCCTTGGGAACCCTATTCTCTCCTGTAGGGTCAAAGAATCAACTCAATGGAGCACAACATCAGTAATAGGTAAAAACATAAAATAAAATAAATAGGTACCATAGTGCAAGAAAAACTTGGAGATAAAGTAGACAGAAATAGAATACAAACTCAACCCACTATCAGCTGTCACCATGATACTGTATGGATCAATTCTATCAGTTTAAGGATGTAAACTACCAAAGAACATATTGATAATTCTTTACCCTGTCATCTGCACATTCAAGCAGGTCACCATGGCAGCATTCCTGGTGGATTTTGGCAAGATCTAGCACTACCTTCGTAATGTCTGAAAATTCAGCTTTGGGAAATTTCTGGCTCATTTGAGATACAGCCCTAAAAAACAAAATCCCATTGAATGAATTATTAACATGCAATATTTACAGGGATGCAATAGGAAAATACTATTTATGTTATGAGAAAATTGAAGGCAACTAGGCTATAAAAATAATCTGCAGAATCCATTACTTCTCATTTTAATGCTAGTACTAAATTATCCTTTTTACTTACGACAGAATTATCCATCATGAGAGTGGGTGCAGTAGATAGAAATCTGGTGTTCATTAGTAGCCATCAAGTCAATTCTGACTTATGACAGCCTCAGCCTTGTGGGTGCAGAGTGGAGGCAATGTTGTAAGGTATGCAGTTTGGAACCCAGATCTAAAGTCCAAGTCTGGCTTTCTCACTTACTATCAGAGTGATCATAGGAAAGTTAGTTAGACACTCTTAGATTGAAACTCTGTAGTTTCAATAGCACTGTTGTGTAAATTAAATTAGATAATGTATATTAAATAAAGCATTTTATAATAGAAAGAGCTAGTACTCTTTTTTGTTTTTTTAGTCAGTTAAGACTTTCTAAAGGAGTTTTGGAGTCCTGGTGTGGTGCTGTGGGCTAATGCGTCAGACTGCAAAGTCATTTGAACTGCAAGGTTGGTGGTTCAAGCTCACCAGCTGCTCCTTGGAAACCCAATACAGAGTCGCTATGGGTGAATCCACTCGACGGCACTTAATAACGATAAAAAAGTTCTAGTGTGGCACTGTGGGATAATGCACTGGACCTGAAGGTCAGTTTGAATCTCAAGGTCCGTAGTTCAAATTCACCAGTCGCTTCTCAGAAGCCCTCTATAGGGTCGCTGTGAATCGCAACCTAGTTGACAGTACTTAACGACAACAACAAAGGGATCCTTGGAAAGTGCAATGGCTCTATACAATAAGCACTGGACTGTGAACTCAAGGTCAGCAGTTTGAGCTTACCAGCTGTTCTGTGGGAAGAAGATAAAGCTTTCTGCTCTGGAAAACTTATATAGCGCCCCTATGAGTCAGAACCAACTCAAAGTCACTTAATAACAACAACAAGGGGTCCTGGTAGGGCGCTATCGGATAAGCGCTGGATTGCTAATCACAAAATCAGTAGTTTAAACCCAATAGCCACTCCTCAGAAACTGTAAACAGAGTCTGTAAGAGTCGAAACCAACTCAACAGCACTTATCAACAACAACAACAACAAAGGTCTCTAAGAAGAGAAATATCATAATTCCACGGAAGTAGGGTGTAATAAAAAGTTGTTATTGTTATGTGCTGTGGAGTCGGTTCTGACTCATAACGACCCTGCACAGGGATTCTGAGGCTGTAAATCTTTACGGGAGCAGAAAGCCTCATGTTTCTCCCGCAGAACAGCTGGTGGTTTCGAACTGGTAACCCTGAGGATAGAAGCCTGATTTGTAACCACTACGCTACCAGAGCTCCTGTAGCAAAAAGTAGGTAAAAGAAATAAATAAAACTAATAAAATTAAACATACTTTTGCTAAGAAATTGACCCAGTAGAAACTCTTAAGCTCTATGACAAGGATAGTGACATCATTCTTCCCAAATAATTTCAGAGTTGCCTAATTCTGATAAAAAGGACTTTTCCCCTTCTAGAATGAACCATAGTCTGTTTAGTTGTGTATCATGAGGTTGTTGTTGTTGTTGTTGTTTAATTTGGTTAATTTGGTTAGTGTACATGGGAGAAATGACAGGTAAAGGAAGTTTCATTGGTGGTTTCTAGAAAGCATACATAATGTCTATTCTTTTCATTTCTCTCCTACTCTTGCTGATTTGATGCTGACTAGCCCATGAGGGGTTGGGAGTGTTAGTATTTTCTTGGCTCAAGTATTCAAAGATCTCCCAGACCAGGTAAGTAACATCAAAATAGACAGCCCAGCAAAAATAAGATCCCAAGAACAGAACTACAGGTATGATCTAAGGAAAAATAATCTCGCTTTCTTCAATATTTAATTTATCAGGGCTACAAAAGAATAGGTAGACACTTTCAGTTCATTGGAAAGAAAGGTTAAGGTAAATTATTTTTTAAATCCTGACTACATCTCTATCTAAATAATGTTGTTGTTGGGAAGTGCCTTCAAGTCGGTTCTGACTCATAGTGATTCTGTGTACAGTTTCTGAGGAGCAGCTGGTGAGTTTGAACCGTTGACCTTGCTATTAGAATTGGTGTGCTCTGGAGTTGGTTCTGACTCATAGTGACCCTGCATAGGGTTTCTGAGGCTGCAAATCTTTACGGGAGCAGAAAACTTTAGCTTTCTCTCCCAGAGCAGCTGGTAGTTTTGAACTGCAGGTCAGCAGCCTGACTTACAACCATTACGCTACCATACATTAATAAATTCCCAGTATTTATTAATAAAATGAAAGCTTAAATATAAGTCCATTTTTAAGAAAAAGAAGAAAGAAAGAAAAAAGATTGTGCCCTCTAAGCTCTTTGACTACTTAGAAAAATAAGATAAATGAACATTTTTCTAAAAAATTGTCATTGGTGTTCTGACTTTTCCTTGTATTAACTTTCTACCTTATAGACAATCAAAAAGAAGTATTAAAAATTGCTGCATAAAATTTAATACAAATGTTTCGTTTTGCCAATTGAACCAACATTATTTTCATCATTCTAAATATGAAAACTAAATTTAAAAATACTCACCATGCTTTGAAGGCTCTCTCTCCGAATTTTTCGATATTGGCACACTTTAATCTTTGTTTGGCAGATGAAGTCAGCACGGCCTCTTTCAAAAGGTCAAGCTACAAAAAGAAATCATTTGGGGAAAATTAGAAAAAGAAAATTTTACGTGAAACATTCCTTCATAAACACTGATGAAACTATGCCAAATTAAATTTAAAAGAGATCGTTTATACCTAAATTTCCAAGTACTTACTATGGGTAACCATTTAATTTGATAAGAAGAAAAATTAGTCTGGCTATAGTGGAAGGCTGCAGGAAGTTGGGGGGTGATATAGAGGCATTGTCAGAGATAAAAGAAAAAAAAAACTGGGAGAACAGAATAGACTCATCTCCCAGAGAAGATAACTTTGTTAATTTCCTATTTTGCCGATTAATCATTTTAATCCCTCCTCCACCAACTCTCCTACAATCCAGAAACTCCCTTGTCTAGTTTGAGTTCCTTTTCCAGTAAAAAGGCTCATGACAAGACAAAACTTGTATTCTTTGGCTGTGTAATTAGACAAATAAGTTTCTGCATGTTGTTGTTAAGTGCCGTCGAGTCAGTTCCAACACATAGTGACCCAGTATAGGGTTTCCAAAGAGTGACTGGTGAGTTTGAATCACAGACCTTGTGGTTCAAACAGAACTTGCAGTCCTGCACATACCCTACAAGGCTATGCCAGGACTCCAAGTTTCTGCATATCCCTTATTAAAAGCAGTGGCATACTTAGACAAATATGAGATGAGGGGATTTCAAAATTTTTGTGGAAAAATGTAATTAAAATATGATTGAATTTTTCCATGAGCATTTTAATGATCCCTTTCACAGATTTGTCTTGGCAAATCTTAGCAGAAGGGCTAGTGAGTCCAAAAATCTTCATAGGTGAAGGATCCTTTTAGTGGTAGGTGGAGATAACAGAGTGGGGGAGGCTTTGTTAACATGTCTGGAAGTTTATGTCAGAGACTCAGGTTCTCTAAATCCAGCCATACAGTGGTGAAAATCTGAAAAATATGAACTGATTCTTATGTTCTTTTGCATAATACCTTTGGTGTCAGGCAGTCAGCTTTATCAGCAGCTTGGCAGCACTCGGTCAATACTGCTTTATACTTTTGACTAAAGAAAAGGAGTTCTGGGGCATAGAAGTAAGGATGTCTTCTGGCAACTTGGTATAAGTATCTAAAAATTACAAGAGGAAAACAAGGAGTCATTGTTCTTTAGCAGATAGATTACAGGAACCATTATAAACAACATTCTCTCCAGACCCTCCAAAACCCAAATAATGGCATCTCCTTTACCAATTAAAGTCAATCTGTATGTGACAACCTTACCTTTGTCATTATTTAAGTTACCTCAACAATGTGGTTAAAAGGTCTGGTGATATGTTTCCCAAAAGTGACAGCCTTGAAAACCCTATGGAGCAGTTCTAATCTGCACACCTGGAGTTGCTATGTGTCAGAATCAACTCAACAGCAGCTAACAACAACCTGGATAGATTGATCTCCATCATCAGGCCTTCTTTCTCCCAATCATGCAACCCCACCTACACAAGATTTCAGAAACTACTCCTCTTTAATCCAATTCATAGTCTTTATTAATTGTGAGATGTAAAATTATTAGAACTGGGAATAATCTATGCTTGTTGTTACTGTTGTTAAATGCCATCCAGTAGGTTCTGACTCATAGTGAACCTGCTTAGGGTTTCCAAGGGAACAATGGAGCAACTGGTGAGCTTGAACCACCATCCTTGTGGTTCAAACCGATTTTGCAGTCCAGCACATTATCCTGTAGCACTATCTCATATTAATTAAGGAGCTCTGGTAGCCTAGTGGTAACTAATCGGACTGTTAACCTCAAGGTCAGCAGTTCAAATCTAGCAGTCCTTCCACAGGAGAAAGATGAGGCCTTGGAAACCCTATACAGGGTTGCTATGAGTTGGAACTGACTTGGCACACCACCACCACCATCCATATTAATTAGCTATTTGATTTATAGAAAGTTAGTCTTTGTGTGTATAGTCTTAGATCTGTAAAAATCCTACTGTAAAAATGGTATCTATTTTTTTCAGTCAATATTAAAAATGTTTAAGGAAACAAAGAGGCCAATAAATAAATAAATAAATGAAAGGATTAGTAATCAAATCATAGTGTTTTAAGTAAAAATTCTTAGTTTGCTAATATGCATAAATAAGGGTTTCTTATTGTTATTCATAAGAATAATAATAAAATTGAAACCACTGTTATTGCCAATCATAAGTAATGTTTTGAGAAAACAGTGCCAATCTCAAATATTTTCATATAGTTCATACCCTGTTTCAATGAACCCCAAAACTTTTTGTTGTATAGAATTTTTTGTTGTTGTTGTTGTATAGAATTTTGCCAATTTTTTTGTTGTATAAAATTTTGCAATATCAAATGCTACCTCTTTTTTAATTGATCTGCTTCTTATGGTGATTGTTTTCATGAGAATTGATCTATAGATCTGTTACAATAATGCTAAATTTTGAATTATAAACATCTGATTACTTACTCTCCAAAGAATTTGTCCTCATCTGCCTGGAATGCAGCACACAAATCATCAGCAGGTGGTCTCACCAATTGAGGGAGACCTGGGTTGTCATCTTTGTGTGTTAAGAAACAATTGTTTCTCTCAGGTTCTTGTTTCTCACAACAGTCAGCCAATTCACCATAGGTGTCACGAAGAGATGCAATTGTACAGAGTTTATCTCCAAAAAGAGTATGCTAAATGAAGAAGAAGAAAAAAAAAATCTTTATGCCCAAAATACAATATAAAATCTTTAATATACTAGGTGACGCTTGGTTAGGAAAACAGAAATAATCCACACCATCATTCTTCAATCCCCTGTCTGATTTAGAGATTTTTCCTAGATTTGTTCTAAGTGTAATTTTCATAAGAATCAGCTGTCACACTCTTGCTTTGAATAGATAAAACGTAATGGCAAAAGAACTGGTCAATACCTTTAAGGAATGTTATATTACTTCTTTTTCCAACTGTGACTAAAGGCTAAAAGAGGTTTCACTAAAATAACCATCCACAAAAATAACCTAAGTAGTAGGTGAATTCACACTAAGGAGAAAACAGTTGAGATAGTTTCTCATTTGATCTGGTCCCCTTTGAGAGAGCCACTTATGAGAAGTTCTGGTGGTGCCGTAGCTAGGCACTCAGCTGCTAACTGAAAGGCTAGAGGTCTGAACCCACCAGCAACTCTGAGAGCGAAAGATGTGGCAATTTGCTCCTGAAAAGATCCGCTGTTTGTTTATTGTTAAGTGCTATTAAGTTTGTTCAGACTCATGTTGTTCTTGTTAAGTGCCGTCGATTCGGTTCAGATCTATCGCGACCCTGTACTGGGTTTCGGGGCTATAAGTCTTTACGGGAGCAGAAAGCCTCATCTTTCTCCCACGGAGTGGCTGGTAGTTTCGAACTGCTGACCTTAAGGTTCACAGCCCGATTCATAACCACTATGCTACCAGAGCTCAGATTCATAGCGACCCTATAACTATTGAGTTTCCAAGGAGAGGTACAACTGGTGGGTTTGAATTACCAACCTTCTGGTTAGTAGTCCAGTGCTTACCCTACAGAGCCACACCAGTATTAAAACCTTGGAGATCCTATGAGACAGTTCTTTTATAACCTAACTTACCTATTAATTAGAATGCACTCATTGCCAGTGGATTTGTTTTTAGATTATTCAAAATTAAGGAATAACACAGTTTATAACTTACCAATTGAGTTATTACACTGAAATATAGATTTTTAAATTTGCTCCAAATTACATTCCATTAAATTAATTACTTATTTCCTCATTAGATTATAAGGAGCCCTGGTAGTGTAGTGGTTACAAGTCGAGCTGTTAACCTCAAAGTTAGCAGTTCGAAACCACCAGCCGTTACACAGGAGAAAGATAAAGCTTTCTGCTCCTGTAAAAATTTACAGCCTCAGAAAACCTATACAGGGTCGCTATGAGTCGGAACCAATTCCACGGCACACTACCACCACCACCACCATTAGATTATATTAGGAAAACAGGTGCACTCCTGGGAAATATATACTACTCTAGATGTTGTTGTTGTTAAGTGCAGTCGAGTTGAACCCCACTCATAGCGACCCTGTATAGGGTTTCCAAGGAGTGGCTGGTGAGCTTGAATCACCAACCTTGTGGTTCAAACCAGCCTTGTAATCCAGCGTGCATTAACCCACGGCGCCACACCAGGACTGCTCTACTCTTGTTGTTGTTGTTGTGTGCCATGGAGTCGAATCCGACTCATAGTGACCCTGTACAGGGTTTCTGAGGCTGTAAATCTTTACAGGAGCAGAAAGCCTCATCTTTCTCCCACGGAATAGCTGGTAGTTTCCAACTGCTGACTTTGCGGGTTCACAGCCCGATTCGTAACCACTACGCTACTGGAGCTCCTTCTACAATTCATATTTAGAACTATGATAATTGCCTAAGGTTGCGTATGCATTCTGCTTTGAGAGAAGAAAAGGCTCCTATAATCATTAAGAAATGGTCTTTCTACTGAGATTGAGTGATGAGAGAGACATAAACTTCTCCTTATGCCAAAAGTTCAGTTTTCAAAACAATCCTTAAACTAATGGATGCATAGCTAGACTTTTCACCCAAGTAGCAAAACTAGCATCGAAATCAATTGAGTGTTTTCTCAAGATAAAAGCTAAATAGACTGCTATCACTATAAGCCTTTATGAAAAGAAACCAAATTTCAATTAAAAGAAAAAAAAAGTTTTAATAAATGACAAATCTCCATTTAAACACATTGACTTTTGTGTGTGGTCCTAATTTAAATTTTAAAAAAGTGTTTTAAAATATGAGGTGTAGCAAGACTATATAGATCACAGAAGTAACCATGACTTGTCAGTTTCCATTCACTTTAAGTGTTACTTGTGGTTAGTCATCAATATGCCACCAGGTCTCCTTTGTTTAATCTAGTCATTTAGTAATAATAGAAAAAACTAAAACAGGAAATTTTTCTTTTAAAGGCTCAGGATTTCTTAAAAGAAGAAGAAATTTTCTAAATCAGAGTGTACGTACAAGTGACTTGTCACAGTTTTCAGCTGCCTCATTAGCAACACATGTCTTTGCAAATTCAGTTACTTCATTCACTAATTTTACATGTTCTTCATATGGGCATTTTTGGAGATACTGAGAAAAGGCAATCAGCAATCTGAAACAAATGACACAGAAAGTATATTTGTATCATAATAAAACATCAATATAAAACAGATTGTTATGTTAGTGGGCAAATCACCTATCTAAATATGTTCTATATTTTATATATTTATACAAGAGAGAAAAGAATGGGGAAAAAAAGAAAGAATTGTTCATAACCGGTATTTTCTGAGGCCTTACCAGGCTTATGTGACTGCCTAGGAAACAAGAAAGTGTGTTTCCACCATGTTTAAATAAATATTCATGCACATCAGTAGATACATACCCAGAGAGTATACAAGCAAACTGTATCCTAAAGAGGTCTCATCAAGACTAAGGGTTTACCCTTTGAAGCATTTAAAACAATAAAATCACACACATGCCTCACTTAATCAGCCTATATTAGATCAAAGGAGCTCTGGTAGCGTAGTGGTTACGAATCGGGCTTCAAACCTTAAGGTCAGCGGTTCGAAACTACCAGCCGCTCCGCGGGAGAAAGATGAGGCTTTCTACTCCCATAAAGATTTACACCCTCGGAAACCCTGTACAGGGTCGCTATGGGTCGGAACCGACTCGATGGCACTTAATAACAACAACAAAAATTAGATCAACCTTTAAAATAGGCTATTTCTCAATTTTTACTAGAATTTTAAAAGGTTAAAATGCTCCCTGAAAAACCACAGTATTATTTGCTATGCACAGGGAGTTTAGTAACTGAATTGCCAAAAGAACCATATACTAAAATCATTTCTAGCATTCAGGCTCTCTATGAGCTTCAAGGCTGCTCTGTTCAATACAGTACCAATAGCCACATATGGCTATTTAAACTTAAATGCCAATGAATTAAAACAAAACAAAATTTAAATTTTTGTTCCTTAGTTGCCCTTGCCACACTGGATGTGTTCAGTAGCCACATGTGGCCAGTGGCTACCATACTGGAAAGCACTGATCTATATTTCCCTCAATATAGACCTGGATGACAGGGATATGTAAGAACCCCAGAGTTATAATCAATTGCTAATAGTAACATTAAATTTGACTTTGAATATTTTAACTTACAATCCTTTAAAGACATCTTCTCCTAAATCTGTGTACCGATGAGCAAGCTCACTCTTGTCTGGAAGGAGGTGAGAAGAGGGAAAGAAAGGGGAAAAACACACAAGAATTTTTTTTAATCACTGAAGAAAACAACTGATTATGATGCCACATTTATATTTCCCTCCATTTCACTAGTTCATTTGCTCCAAAATATTGGGCTCAGATTCTTACAGATAATCTTAGGAAGATGATGAACTATTTGCTCTGCATTTAAACTCAATAAATTTTCAATCAGCAATGACACTGTTTGTATAGTCTTATATTCAAATTTGGATAAGAAGTAATGGTTTCATAGTGTCTGTTAACTATCTGAAATGAAAATAATAGAAAACTGCTTTCTTTTTATAAGATTAGCAGCACAGATTTTGATTTCTTTATGAAGTATAGTTCATTGGGAATTTGGAGTTAGGAAGTGTATCTCAAACTCTAAAGTTTAAATTTAAATGCCTAAAGTTTCTGCATGTGCAAAGTAAAATTGTGATTACTAAGGAATTAACACTTTTCCACCTAGAATGTTATAAATACATTAATAAGATAACTTCCTATAGCCCCACAAATGAAAAATGTCATCACAATTTAAAAATAAATGTTAAAGGAGATCCTAATTCTTTAAAGGTGCAGGGTTTACTAAAACTTCATTTACTAGGAAAATAAAATTAAGTTGAATAGTAAAATAATAGAATTCTTACGTGCATCTCGACGAAACACACCCCTGGAATAAGCAGAGCTGAAGAGAAAGAGAAGGGAAATAAAGGTTACCCACTTCATGGTGCCAAAGGCTGTGGGAATAGAGGGGAGAAAAGTTAGGATGCATAGAGAGAAATTAGCACTAATATACTTCTCTGACCAGTAATTGTAGATTATTAACTAGACTCATCTTTGTATTTCATTGGTTCACAAGTGATTACAAAATTCATAATATTCTTGCCAAAAAATTGTTTGACTAAATCCCTTGCGTATGTTTGTCATTTGGAGCTGTTTTTTTCCATAAGACCTTGTCAATTCATTAAAGTTATGTAAAATATCTTATCAAATGAGTTTAAATGTTTGTAGCTTTTATTCATTGCTACCATTACCATGTTCTTGATATTTGATTCCTATTTAAACATTTTAGTTTTCAGTATTTGCAAAACTGTAACTACATCAATTATTTAACTTGAAAACAAGACATAGCTTAAGAGTTAAGTTCTGAATTATATCCATTACTAATTCCAAGTTTGCTTTTATCATTATGTAATGATTTGTTAATAATAAAAGTATATTTATACACAAACACACATTAGAGGGTATCTATGTCTTATTATTCTTTGGAAAGGGTTCTGACTGAAAAGGCTGATGCTGTCTCCAATGTGAACGAAGAAAAGCCACAGCAACAAAAACAATTAAAATAGGTATTCATAGGCTTCATGTTTGCATCTAATCTCTGGTCCATACGTGATTCAAACTGTGTCATACATAGGACACTTAGATCAACTAAAGGAATCTTCAGTTAAGGAGACATGAAGAAGAAAATGGATCCAAATAGCAGTAAGGAATTTTTGCCATCATCAGGACAGACTGAGTCCTGATTACATCTCTAGAAGTTAAGAGAAACTTAGACTTTCTTCATGGCATGGAGTTATCTCTACCCAGTTTTGCACTTTTATTCTTTCTTCCTTAACAAGTAGAAACATCTTATGGCTCTTCTTTAATCTAATTTTGAATCTCAAAAACAAAACATTATGATCAAAAGGAAAACAAAGGTTAATTAAATGTTTTTCAAACTTCCTTTGCTACTCTTCTCACCAAAGATTCTGTTCTATCCTGAAGGACTATCCTTCTTTTTTTCTAAAGCCGAAAAACCACTAATCTCAACTAATAGGAAAATTGTCTTTCTTTGATACCACAGTAGGATAACTCATATCAACCCAGTCATTTCAATTCATTACATAGCCCATGTAAATCAAAGCTCCCGTCCATCGCATATTTGAGTACATAAGCTAATAAATGTTCAATCATGAAAACCTAACCAGGTACCATCAAATCCATTCCGAGTAATTATGACCCCATGTGTTACAGAGCAGAATTTCAGAAGAAGCACTAGTCACTATTATAATGAAAGAAATACATTTTCTATTATCTTATTTCCTTGTCTTTCACTTTCAGATATGAGTATCAATTTAAAAATTAAGCACAGAAGATAAGATAAAAGAAAGAAAGATGGATGATAGATAGAAAAATAGATAATTTTTCAGATGGCTAAAGGGACTGTTGAATGATTGTACCAGACTTGTCTTTTAACCCACAGATGAATAAAACTTAAAGACTGTATCTGCCTAGGAAATTATTTCCATTGAAGAAACTGATTACTAATAATACCCTATATTTGAAAAGACAAAGTAAACTAATCTCATTTTCTAAATAGAGAAAATAATTCTCAAGTAATTGTGTCAACTTTTCTTTTAGCTCTCTAGAAACAGTTGTTGTTGTTGTTAAGTGCCATTGAGTCCGTTCCAACCCATAGCGACCCTGTATAGAGTTTCCGAGGAGCAGCTGGTGAGCTTGAACCACCAACCTTGCAGTTCAAATGACTTTGAAGTCTGGTGCATTAACCCACAGCACCACACCAGGACTCCCTAGAAAGAGTGGGAGTGGGCACCGTTTATTTGAAGTCATGGCCAACTCTAGCCTGTCCCTGTGGAAGGAAAAACCAAACATGCAATCCTTATCACTGAATATAATTGTATTACTAACTCACAAATTCAGGTCTTTTTCTGTCATGCATACATTTTAGTACCTTTTTCATTTAAAAAATTGAAAGAGTATTAGCCTCTCCATCTATTTGTTGTTGCTGTTGCAGTACCATCAAGTTAGTTCCAATTCATAGTGACCCTGTATAGAGTTTTTGAGGAGCAGCTGGTGGGTTTGAACTGCCAGCCTTGTGATTAGCAGCCCAGTGTTTATCCTACAACAATACCACACCATGACTCACTCCATCTATTATGTATTATAATGATGGTGTGCTGTGGAGTTGGTTCCAATTCATAGCAACCTTGTATAAGGTTTCCAAGGCTGTACACCTTTAGGGGAGCAGAAAGTCTCGTATTTCTCTGGCAGAATGGCTGGTAGTTTTGAACTGCTGACCTTGAGGTTAGCAATCTGACTCGTAACCACTATGCTACCAAAGCTCCTTATATACTATAATATCATATTAAAATATATGATAATGGAAAAAAAATTTTAATCAAATTCATCATGACCAAAAAGGAACTCAAAATGTGTTGTCCTATAATCAATAGTACCAAAAGTTTTCACTTTGACCAGAAATCTGAAACGAAGTATTAGCTTGACTAATCAAGAAAAAATGCCAGAGGCACAAATTAGAAATATTAGGAATAACAACAAAAAAAAAAAATAGAAATAATTATTTATACAATTAATTGTTTTTAATAAAATGAGAAGACTATAAATAACTTCATATTAATAAATTTGAAAACATAAGAACTGATTTGACCATATTTAATGATGGTTCCATAGCTTTGAAATATAAAATTGATAGTACCTGGAAGAATATTTCCTCACAATACCAATGAGATGTTCCATGTCATGTATCCTTATGAAAGATTAGTAGATGGTTGAAAACCCAAATTATTTAATTAACACTTTGAGTATTTAAAATTCATCTAAATTTTTTTTTAAAAGCTCTTGATAATTTGCATTTTACAGATTTCTAAAATAAGCATTTCTATGTTTTTCTGTGAAAACTTATTAGTTCTGCATATACCTTGTACTAAGAAGAATAAAAACACATAATTATTGATTACTTCTAAATGTTTTCTTCTTCAGGCTATTAAATTCTATGTTTGATCAGTTATCAAAGGATTCTAGCAGGAAGGTAAGTGAAATAGCTATACTAAGAGTTATAAATACAGTTTAGAGACTCTGATATCCAAGTGGAATCCTAGTGTGGTACTGTGAGATAAAGCACTGGATGGCAAGGTAGTTTGAACCACAAGATTAGCGATTCAAACTCACCAGCCTCTCCTTGGAAACCCTATACAGGGTCTCAAATAGCCAGAACTGACTCAATGACACTTAATAACAATAACAAGTATGATATCATGTTTGGTAAGGTGGAGGGTCAGAGAAAAAGAGGAAGACCCCCAGCAAGATGGATTGGCAAAGTGGCAGCATCAATGGGCTAAAGCATGGCAACTAATGTGAGGTTGGCCCAGGATCAGGCAGTGTTTTGTTCTGTTGTGCACAGGATCGCTATGAGTCAGTACCAACTTAATGTACCAACAAAAAGTAGGTAGAAAAAGGAACTCTGATAGTGTAGTAGTTATGAATTGGGTTACTAACCTCAAGGTCAGCAATTCGAAACTACCAACTGTTCTGCAGGAGAAAGATGAGGCTTTCTACTCCCATAAAGATTTACAGCTTCAGAAACCTCGTACAGGGTTGCTATGAATTGGAACTGACTCCACAGCACACTACCATCACCACCACCACAAATTTGATTAAAAAAAGTAGTTGCAGGGTTGCATAGTTGATTATCATAATTGCTGTCAATAATCACCCAACTCATGCATTGGCAAGCATTGTGTGATACATAGATTTACAACAACAAAGACTATGTACAACCAAAAACCTTGCAGGGTTTGGTTTCTTGGTTTGGAAGTTCACAGTAGTGGTTTTATGAGACATACTAGTTAATTAGTTTGATAAGATGTTTAGTGCTTCTCCCCTACCTACTAATTCAATACATAGTGCCTAAGGTCTTCAAAGCTTGCAAGCAACCATCCAAGGCAAAATTGGTCTCTATTTACCTGGAACAACAGAAGAAGTATCAGGAATAGGAGGAAGAAATGCAATATGTGGCTTATTGCCTCCATGAACAGCTTCCTCCTTTGCCAGGAGACCAGAAGAATTGGATGGTGCCCAGTCACCATTACTGAATGTTTTGTGCAAAGAGTCAGTAGAAGAACCCTGATCAAAAAGGCGAAAATGTAGAACAGAACTTCAAATTGTCATGGACTTGAGACTTCCTGGAGCCATTCAGCTATTGTCCTGAAATAACCTACATACCATAAATAAAAAAATAACTCCTGAAGTCTTCTTAAAACCAAACAATAGTTTATCTTAACTAGTAAAATACTGTCAGCCTTGAGCATTATGTGTTTATTTAAGAACTACCTATATGGGATCAAATTGACAACAACAACTAAAAAGATTAGGTGGGAACCTCAGGGGGCAGTGAATTTATGCTGATGATTAAGGAACTTACTCAGAAAAGGAGGGTCAGAATGGTTGTCTAACTCAAAGGAAGTAATCAACATCATTAAATGGTACACGTAGAAATGGTGTATGTTTTGCTGTGTACTCTCTCAACAACAGAATTTTTTTCAAAATTTAAGTCACTCTCAGATAAGCACTGGACTGCTAACTACGAGGTCAGATCAAAGCCAGCACTTAACAACAATAATGATTCATTTTACAGAAGATGTTTTAAGGAGACTATAGTAATGAAATTCTGTTATATGGAAAAAATAATAAAGTGTACTAGCTATTTGTTGTTGTTATATTAAGTACCGCTGAGTCATTCCCAACTTATAGTGACCCTGTATAGGGTTTCTAAGGAGTGACTGGTAAGCTTGAACAGCCAACCTTGTAGTTCAAACTGACTTTGCAGTCCAGCGCATTAACCCGCAGCACCATTACTTATTTAGAAGAGAAAAACAGGGTCTGGTGAAATGTAACTGGAAATTAAACCTGAGCCTTTTTCCTTT